ACTTTGATTCGGGCTTCCTTCGGAATGCAGAGGGCTTTTTAACGTTAATGGAGATCGTGTGTGTGTGTGTGTGTGTGTGTGTGTGTGTGTGTAAATGCCATCACAGCTGACTTGCGTTGACCACAGCAAGGGGCTTTGGAGGCAAGCGAGAAGCAGAGGTGGTTGGCCATTGCCTTCCTCTGCAGAGCCTTCCTTGGTGGTCTCCCTTCCAAGTACCGACCCTGCTTAGCTTCCAATTTATGGTGACCCCAGCAAGGGGTTTTCAAGGCAAGGGAGAAGCAGAGGTGGTTTGCCATTGCCTTCCTCTGCAGAGCCTTCCTTGGTGGTCTCCCTTCCAAGTACCGACCCTGCTTAGCTTCCAATTTATGGTGACCCCAGCAAGGGGTTTTCAAGGCAAGGGAGAAGCAGAGGTGGTTTGCCATTGCCTTCCTCTGCAGAGCCTTCCTTGGTGGTCTCCCTTCCAAGTACCGACCCTGCTTAGCTTCCAACTTATGGTAACCCCAGCAAGGGGTTTTCAAGGCAAGGGAGAAGCAGAAGTGGTTTGCCATTGCCTTCCTCTGCAGTGCCGTCTTTGATGGTCTCCCAAGTACCAACCCTATTTAGCTTCTGAGTTCTGATGAGATCGGGCTATACCACGCCGCCTTCCCTCCCAATTATGGAGATTACTGACCCAGATACCTGTGCTGTGTAGTTGTACTTCTATACTAAAAACAAAATTTAATTTTTTAAAAATTGTATTGTTTTCAGGAAATGGGAGCCTTATCAAGCACTGTTAACTTAATTGGGGTCTCAGTACCTCTTCTGTATTCCCTCCCCCCCCAACCGAGGCCAAAGTGATTACTTGCTTAAACCATAAAACCAAGGGCCGCCAAACTTGCTTAACCTAAGAGCCGCACAGAATAAATGTCAGATGTCTGAGGGCCACAGGACACGAACACACACACATTTTTATTGAAAAAATATACAAATTTGTATATTAAAGAGACACACATACCTTCTCTGAGCCAAGCCGGTCTGCTGGTGTGGTGGGGCTTGGAGAACACATTTAACTTTAGATGGGGAGGGAGGGGCGAAAGACAGAAAGGTGGAAAGAAAGCAAATAGATGGGGGGAGGGAGAAAGAAGACAATTTTAAATTTAAATGCATCCTCCAAGGCCCCCCCCCACACCCCAACACCGGCTGGCTTGGCTTGGAGAAGGGATTTAAAGAGAACACATTTAAAGTTAAAGCTGTTCTCTTTCTCTGCTCACCCCCACCTCAAGCCTACCCAGGGAGGGGAACACTGGCTTTGGGGAAGGGAAGACCATCCAGGGAGGCACGCCTAGAGATGTAAACTTTCCAGAAATTTTGAAGCTCGGAAAAAACTCCAGTTTTTTTCCCGTTTTTTTTTCCGGAAAAAAACGGAAATTTTCGGAAAAATTGAAAAAAATGCTACATTAGCATTTCTTTTGTCTTTTCTAGATTGAAAGTCATTCTGTTACTTTAGGAACATAAAATATGACTATGGACCCTGAAGCAGTAAGATATTTTGAGATGTATCTTATTTTAAAACACACAAACACCTCCCGCTGCAGCTGTGGCAAACGTGTGTGTTTTGTCAACACAAGAACAACTCGGGCGGCTGTTAAAGGTTAACTGCGACAGCTTAACAAAAAGAGTCATTTGGGCAGCCGGAAAGAGGCAGGGAAAGGGAAGGCAGAATCGTTTCCCAGGTGGCTCAATTGCATTTCAGGTTGCATTTCAGGTTATTACCTGGACATTCTCATCTGACAGCGTTTGTTCTCTGGTTTCTGAGTGTGCAAAAATGGGCTTTTATATATCGGGAGGGACATCAGATTCCCGAGCCGCTTTGCTTTTAGCAGCTCCATCCACCAGTGGGAGCTGCAGTTGGTGACTAAACGTTGCCTTGCCATTTCACAGGGAACGATTTTCTCCCTGTGATGTACCGATTAAGACTCCTCTTTACTGGTGGCCCAGTCAAGTTCTTTGCTAACCCATTTCATAGGGATGTCATGAGAACCACGTGCGAAGTTCTGCCCTTTCCGACACCTAAATTACAGTCTTGAAGTATCGCCCCTTTTAAAAATAAACCCACTCTTCCTGTGTTCTGGCTTATGCATAAATCTTTGTGTGCCACTACAGTAAACGTCTGTTTCTGGGGGCTTCCTGGCACCCTAAAGGTCTCGTCAAACCGTAGAGGTTACATTAACCGTAAGAGTGACGTTTATGTCAGATGTACTAGCACAGGAGTGTCAAACTCATTTGTTATGAGGGCCAGATCCTACATAAACGAGACCTTTGTGTTGTTGCAATCTTATGCTGTTCAGGTGTGTATCTGTAAGCTGCAAACCTACGATGACACAGCAGTTGCAAAACTGGAAGCAGCAGCAAAAGACGGCCAGTTCCACTGCGGGGCTGATAAAAGCCCTCCGGGGGCCTGATCTGGCTCCCGGGCCGCATGTTTGACACCCCTGTTCTAGCATAAGCAGAAAACAGACAATAGTTTTAAGATGTTGGAACTTACATTGATTAGCTCTGGTGAACGCTTGAAGTGAGGAAGGGGGTCCCCAAACTTTTTGAGCCTGTAGGGGACATTTGGAATTCTGACACAGGACGGTGGGCCCAGTCACAAAATGGCTGCCACAGGAGGTGGAGACGACCACACAATGTCAGGGTTATGTAGAACTCTTAACAGTATCACTTCACCATTTCAGGCAGCAGCTCTTCTTAACAGAATGCCTTTTAATCAGTACAGCCAATCAGAAGCCCTGCTGGGCAAAAGCCCCACCCAGCCCTGCCCACATTTCTAAAAGCAGGCACTAGGGAAGGGGTTAGCGGAAGCCATGGTACATTAAGAACATAAGAACATCAGAGAAGCCAATGTTGGATCAGGCCAATGGCCCATCCAGTCCAACATTCTGTCACACAGTGGCCAAAAATACCAGGTGCCATCAGGAGGTCCACCAGTGGGGCCAGGACACTAGAAGCCCTCCCACTGTTGACCCCCCCAAACACCAAGAATACAGAGCATCACTTGCCCCAGACTGAGTATGGAATAGGGTATCCAAACTCTGCAGAGTTGTAAGTCAACAGCCTGCCTCCTGCCATTCCCCTTGGTAAATTGGAAGCCTTCCTCCAACTGAAGTAGACCTTTTCCCTGTTTGAAATGGCCGCAGCACGAATCCATGTAAGAAGACAGTTGCAGTGGAAATTATTTTAATCTACTTAATTTTTTTTAAAAAAGATCAAGGACTGTAATCATGAATCCACATTCCTGCCAGGGGAATTTCAGAAGTAGTTCCAAAAGCTGGGAGATGCAAATGACTTTCCCCCCTTTCTTCCTAGAATAACGTCACAGCCTGGGATAAAGGCATTTCTGTTCGGTATGTCCAGAGGGGTTTCCCTTAAAGGAGAGTAGCTGGCTTAAATGTGCCTCTGCAGTGTGGCATGCGTGCATAACGTGCTGGTTATTTATTTATTATTTATTTAGGTATTTTTTAATTTATTTATTTACTTTGGAAATTATGTCCTCAGGTTTACTGAAAACCAAGATAGAATTGTTTTGTAGAGACCTTATAATTGCTCCCAGGTAGCAGAGGTGGGGTTTGTTTTTGTTTGGGGTTTTTTGGTGGGTTTTTTTTGGCCATTAATGTCTGGTCACCCAGTCTTCCGGGTGTTGAGTGCTGTGGCTGGACCGAACCAGGCTGTTGCCCATGATGCCATCTGTCTTGTGCCAAGTCCCAGCCCTTTAAGAACAGTTACAGACCAGTTTTCAGCATGCTTATTTGCATGCAAGTTCCGTCGCGTTCAGAGAAGCTTGCTCTTAAGTCAGCAGCTGTAAGAGTACGTGTTTCTCCAGCTTCATCTGCACTGGTTGGGTGCTTGTGTTTCCTTTGGATCGGTAGCAGTAGCGGACTCAGGTCTCGCCTGCGGTCCTAAAAGCGCTTTGCGTCAGTACTAGAGATGTAAAATTTCCGGAAATTTTGAAGCTCAAAAAAAACCCCGTTTTTTCCCGGGGGAAAACGGAAATTTTCGGAAAAATTGAAAAAAATGCTACATTAGCATTTCGTTTGTCTTTTCTAGATTGAAAGTCATTCTGTTACTTTAGGAACATAAAATATGACTATGGACATTTTTACTTGGCATGAAATTATCACAACTAGCATATTAACAAATATAGTGCATCCAAACAGTTATTACAATCAGAATACCCGCCCACATGGAAAAACAAAACTGGAACCTTTTTATTTTCTTCTGACAATATCACCTCCTAAAGGAAGAAATGCATCTTGTTCTTGCATTGGAGAGTTCAGTTTGTAACCTAGGACTTGCTCAAGCATTAGATCAATCTGATACCATATATATATATTTTAGAAATGATTTGGAAAATATTTGAACACCTTGTCTTAAAATATTTTAGTCATCATGTTAAAATAAAACGTTCCATAATCAATTTCTTTTCTTTTCTTTTTTCAATTTTTCCAATTTTTCGGAAAAAAACAAAAAACCCTTCAGGAAAAAAACGGGAAAACGTTTTTTTTCCGAATTTTTCCGGTTTTTTTCCGGGCCTTCACATCTCTAGTCAGTACAGATGCTAAAACGGGATTAGTGCCAAGAAATGAAACCTTTTTCCTCATCATCCTATGGTCATCCAGAGGGCACATCTGTCACTGTGCTTTTTCAGCCCTGTTTGAGCTCTAAAAAGGTAGTGATAAACCGGCACTATGCCTTTAATACGATGGGTCTTGAAGGATGCGATTATGTCACAAAGGCCCTTTTGCTGGCACTGAGACGTGAATATTCTTGGGGCCTGAATTTCCTAGCACACTGGCCTGACTCCCCAGCACATATTTAAAGCGCAATAAGGTTCACTTTGTTGGTAAAGTTAGGCATATAGTGGTACGGTAGGCCAAGACTACCAGAGCGCATCTTTAGGATGGGCTCGTCTCGCCGACCGGAGCGTCCCAACGTTTACATCAGCGCTTCCTTTGCGTCCATAGATGCATCACTGTAAACGCTACCGCTCCCCGGAGCAGGATCCCTACGCGAACCACAGATGGAAGAGGAGGCGGTCTCGCAGCAGAGAGCACCACGAAGGGAGGCCGCGCCACCCCAGTCGCCGGGACCTGTCACGGAGGTCACGTTCCAGAAGGTGAGCTGAGCCCCTGTTTGGGGAACAAGCCTTTGCGCCAAGGCCGGGAACGTCTGCCTGGGCTTCTTACTGTTCTTTAGACTTGGACATAGGTCCGGAAAGGACTCGCGTCTCTTCGACCAGAGCCCAGGTCTTTTCCATCATGGCTCCGCCCCTGTGGGATGGGCTCCCAGAAGAGGTGATGGGGGGGAGATCCCCTTCTTGGAGATCTTCAGGAGGCGATGCACGGCCTGTCTGTTTGCCAGAGCTTTTGAGTGTGTCTAAATTGGCACGCCTCTTGGGGGAGGGGGTGCATTTGGGGTATTTCAGTTTTAACCGAAGGTGTTTTTGTTTTTAACTTACTGTAAGCTGCCTCGAGCTATGAAGAAAGATGGGATATAAATGCTTTAATAAATATAGATATATATATTACTGGTTGTCTGGTCAAGAATCAGCACTAGCCATATGGCCCAAAGAAAGCCAAGCAGGGTGAGATAGCCCTCTCTGCTCGTTTTGAGTCCAGGAGTGCGTGGCTTCCGAAATGATGGGAGATTAGGTGTCTCGGCGTGTGCGGTTGTGTTACCTTGGCAGCCCGCTGCCTCCTGAAACAAACGACCACGCTGAGAGGCGAGACGGGGGCTCGTCTCGGCTCTAAAAGTTAACCGACCTGGAAGGATCGTAAGCTGGCATTGGATTTCACTGGGCTGGTTGGTTCAGCTGGGGGGGGGTGGGGAGGGCAAGTTGGCACAGGAATAGACGATCCCGAAGAAGGGAGCTCAAAGGTCAGCAGTGATTTAACATTGCGACGGGGGTGACGGTTTAGCAGCATGTGAGAAATAAGAACTGGGCGCACCTCGTCTGGGCCCTTGATCCAGCAGCCTCAGGGTATCTATCTGTCTATTTATATGATTTATTTACATCCCGCCTTTCTCCCCAGTGGGGACCCAACGCAGCTCACGGCCTTCTCCTCTCCTCCATTTTATCCACACAACAACCCTGCGAGGTAGGTAAGGCCGAGACTGGCCCAGGGTCACCCAGCAAGCTTCCGGGGCACAAATGGGGACAGAGAGGGGCTGCTGGAAAGGCCCCCGGGTGTCTCTCAAAGGAGCTGCTGCTTTGAGCGAGAGGTGTTTGTCCTCTTCCGTATTAAGGGGGGGGGGAGGTAGCAGTACACGTTTTAAAACTAAAATTTTGCTAAAAAATAATACTTTTTTTAAAAGTCTAGGGTAGTACTGAGATTTTGCAGTTGTGATATTGGCTCAGCCGCAGAGATCACTGAATGGCCCAGGGTGAATGATGGTATCTTGTCTCACAAGGAGGGCCCAGATACAGAGCTTACGGGCGTTTGTGCACAGGGCGACCACACGAAGCGGCCTGATACCGGATCAGGCCCTCGGTTCATCATGGTCAGTATTGTCCACTCAGGGTGGCAGCGGCTCTCCAGGGTCTCAGGCTGAAGTCTTTCCCATCTCCTCCTGCCTGGCCGTTTCAATGGGAGATTTCAGGGGATTGAACCTGTGGCCTTTTGCATGCAAAGCAGACATTTCACCACTGAGCCGCAGACCCTTCTATTGTGCATGCCCCCTTCCGTTAGAACTACATCAGATGGAGCAAAATCTGGCTTTCTTGCACTCCATTTAGCCCCACTGGGGCTAGTGGACTTTAAAAAGGATCCCAAAAGAGCCACCGATTCTCTCTCTCTCCCCCCCCCCTTCCGAACTCCTGCCTGCAAACAGTCGAAGATAGTGTCACAATGGTCTCTGGGTCTGGAAGGGTGCCCTAAGAAGGCAGGGGAGTGGGATTAAGGACATCAGAAGAGCCCTGCTGGATCAGACCAGTGGTCCATATAGTCCAGCATCCTGTCCCACACAGGGGCCAACCAGTTCCTCTGGAGGGCCAACAACAGGGCATAGAGGCCGAGGCCTTCCTAAGAACATCAGAAGAGCCCTGCTGGATCAGACCAGCGGTCCACCTAGTCCAGCATCCTGTCCCACACAGGGGCCAGCCAGTTCCTCTGGAGGGCCAACAACAGGGCATGGAGGCTGAGGCCTTCCCCTGATAAGAACATAAGAGCCCTACTGGATCAGACCAATGGTTCATCTAGTCCAGCCTTCTGTCTCACACAGGAGCCAACCAGTTCCTCTGGAGGGCCAGCAACAGGGCATAGAGACCGAGGCCTTCCTAAGAACATCAGAAGAGCCCTGCTGGATCAGACCAGTGGTCCATCTAGTCCAGCATCCTGTCTCACACAGGGGCCAACCAGTTCCTCTAGAGGGCCAGCAAACAGGGCAGAGAGGCCGAGGCCTTCATAAGAACATAAGAAGAGCCCTGCTGGATCAGACCAGTGGTCCATCTAGTCCAGCATCCTGTCTCACACAGGGGCCAACCAGTTCCTCTGGAGGGCCAGGAAATAGGGCAGAATGGCTGAGGCCTTCGTAAGAACAGCAGGAGAGCCCTTCTGGATGAGGCTAGTGGTCCATCTAGCCCAGCGTCCTGTCTCACACAGTGGCCAACCAGTTCCTCTGGAGGACCAACAACAGGGCAGAGAGGCCGAGGCCTTCATAAGAACATAAGAAAAGCCCTGCTGGATCAGACCAGCGGTCCATCTAGTCCAGCATCCTGGCCCACACAGGGGCCAACCAGTTTCTCTGGAGATCCAGCAGACAGGGCATAGAGGCTGAGGCCTTCGTAGGAACATCAGAAGAGCCCTTCTGGATGAGGCTACTGGTCCATCTAGCCCAGCGTCCTGTCTCACACAGTGGCCAACCGGTTCCTCTGGAGGGCAACAACAGGGCACAGTGGACGAGGTCTTCCCCTGATGTTGCTTTCTGGCTCTGGGATTCAGAGGCTTAAGTGCCTCTGAATGTGGACATTCCCCTCAGTCACCAGTTATGACAGTTATTCTCCCTGAATCTATCTAATCCCATTTTAAAGGTCTTTATTCCTGTGGCCCTCACTACATCCTCTGGCAGCGCATTCTGCATTTTAGTCGCTCTCTGCGTAAGTAGTATTTCCTTTTGTCTGTCCTGAACCTCCTGCCCATCAGCTTCATTGGATGCCCTCGAGGTCTAGTCCTTTGGGAGAGGGAGGAAAAGTTCTCTTTGTCAACTTTCTTCACCCGTACGGCATAATTTTATAAACCTCTGTCATGTGTCCCACCCCCCCTTAGTCGTCTCTTTTCCAAATTGAAAAGTTCCAGCCTCTTCAGCCTTTCCTCCTAGGGAAAGTGCCCCAACCCCCTTGGTGCCCCTTTGTACTTCTTCCAACTCTGTGATGTCCTCTCTGAGATACAGTGACCAGAACTGCATACAGTATTCCCACGCACCATAGATCTATACAGGGGCATCACAATATTGGCCGTTCTGTTCTCAATCTCATAATAATCCCTAACGTAGAGTTCGCCCTTTTCACGGCTACGGCACACTGGGTTGACGCTTGCACTTGCTATCCAGTCTGACCCCCAAGATCTTTCTCCCTCTCGGCGTGCACCTCTGTGTGGATCAGATCCTCTTGCAGCCCTTTCTCTCTGCCGCCGCCGCTGCCCGGTGGGAAATAACCAGCCCAGCTCCGCGACTCCAGCAGAGAGCCGGGCCCTCTCTGTCTGGTCCACCGCAGGCTTTGGCCGGCGTCCAGCCCATGACGCCAGACCTGCTGACGAGGCAGTAGCTGTTTTCGCAGGGCTGTAAGGACGAATGAATTATGGGACTCTCTGTGGCTTGAAAGGTGCTGTGTAGAGATGACAGATGCTAAAAGGTCAAGCTGCCCCACACGCACACACCCTCCCAGTGAGCTTGTTTCTTGTGAAGCACAAAATTCCTGCAAGTGTCCAGGGGCCACCTTTGGAACAGAAGCCCACGCGGGTCCATTCGTCACTGAGCTCGAGGCTTCCGCATACTGTGAAAAGCCGTTGCGGATTCCTGATTGCCGGGCAGCTTCGGTTCAGGAGTTTGGAGTTTTGCCCTTGCCCCTGATCCACATAGAAGCGCACACCCATATGCCGCCGAATTCTCTGTCCGTGCACGTGCAGTTGTCCGCCTTGCTACAACCTTGGCAAACCGTTCGGGAAGAACTGAGTGCGGCATGTGCGTATTCGGAATTTTCTGTTCTCCTGCTAACAACCAACTGCCCACCGGGGCTGGCCCTCTCTGAGCCCGGTTAACCGGCTGCCGTTGGCCAAGATGAGGCTGAGAGAAACGGGGCAAAAGTCTGTCCATTCCACTCCGCAAGCTCTAAGGAGCCTTCCCCCACCAGTTTGTCCCTTTTCTTGTGGTGGGGTAGTAGGTGGTTGTAGAGGTGTATGCTGAGTGTGCCCTGCGTGTTTACAGTTCAGTCTGAGCTACTTGTTATGCCAGTCCCAGGAGCCTGGGCTGCCTTTCCCCACAATCACAGTTCACAGAAGAGGCTGAGAGAAACGGGGCAAAAGACATTAGTCTGTCCATTCCACTCTGCAAGCTCTAAGGGGTCTTCCTCCACCAGGTTGTCCCTTTTCTTGTGGTGGGTTAGTAGGTGGTTGTAGAGGTGTACGCTGAGTGTGCATTTGGGCCCTGCGTGTTTACAGTTCAGTCTGAGCTACTCGTTATGCCAGTCCCAGGAGCCTGGGTTGCCTTTCCCCACAATCACAGTTCACAGAAGTGTGCCGCTATTAGGTACTCCAGCCATGCCTGCCTTGCCCTGCAGTCAAAGGGTCTGCAGTTAAAAGTATCAGGTGGCTGGTGATAGGAAAGACCTTGACCTGAGTCCCTGGATCAGTGGTAGAGCATCTCCTTGGCACGCAGAAGGTCCCATGTTCAATCCCTGGCATCTCAAGTTAAGAGGATCAGGTAGTGGGTGATGGGAAAGACCCTGACTGCCTGGCTTGCCGGTAGAGCCTCTGCTTGGCATGCAGACGGTCCCTGGTTCAGTTCCCAGCATCTCCAGTTAAAAGGACCAGGCAGGAGGTGATGGGAAAGACCCTGACCTGAGACCTTGGCTCAGTGGTAGAGCATCTGCTAGGTGTGCAGAAGGTCCCAGGTTCGGTCCCCGGCATACCCAGTTAAAAGGATCAGGTAGGAGATGATGGGAAAGATCTCCACCTGAGACCCTGGCTCAGTGGTGGAGCCTCTGCTTGGCAAGCAGAAGTTCCCCAGTTCAATCCCCAGCATCTCCAGTTAAAAGGACCAGGCGGTAGGTGATGGGAAAGACTTCCACCCAAGACCCTGGCTCAGTGGTAGAGCATCTGCTTTGCATGCAGAAGGCCCCAGATTCAATCCCTGGCATCTCCATTAAAAAGGCCAGGTAGTAGGTGATGGGAAAGACCTTGACCTGAGACCCTGGCTCAGTAGCAGAGCATCTGCTTAGTGGTAGTTGTCAGGAAAGACCTCTGTCTGAGACCATAGAAAGCCACTACCAGTGAGAGTAGACAAGGCTGACTTTGATGGACCAAGGGTCTGATTCAGTAAAAGACGTGTTCCTTCTGTCTCCCCCCCCCCCCAAAGTGTTTTGTAATCTGGCTTCTCTGTTCAATTCAGCCAGGACAGAATGCCCCAGCCCCATCAGAGACGATACAGAGACGGAGCGGACGGTGAGGTCTACAGGTTCGAAGAACGGAGCGCGTCTTTCGGAGAGGACTATTACTCTTCCCGCCGCTCACGCCACCGCCGGAGATCCCGCGACAGAGAGCGTCACCGGACACGGAAGCGCCAGCACCGCTGCCGGAAACGCAGGACCAGGTCTTGTAGCAGTACCTCCTCGGTGAGTAGCATCCAGAAGGAGTTCAGGATTGGTCAGGGACTTAATCAGCTTCTAGCTTTTTCACAGCTTGGAATAACTCTGGGTGAGTACCTCTAATCCCTGCCTTTCTCCTCCGTACAGTCATAAGAGTTCCGTTTTCTTTCACTGGTTATGTTAGCTGGTCTCAGGTCTCGATGATTCCCTTACTGGGTGTGTTTCTAAAGGTGGATTCGGGAAGGAAATCCAGTCCAGCCAAATAGGGCACGTGTCCATGCGATCCAGGGGTCTCTATGCGTAGCTTAGAACGGTCATGCCGTTATTTGGCACACTCAGGTTTGCTCACTTGGCGATCCGCTTTTTAACTGCACACTGCGACGCTGGATGGTTCCGTTTGGGGGGGGTACAGGGGCTACCCTGCGCCAGGGTGGTGGGGCATTCCTTCCAGCGCCCTTGACTCCTTACGTCAGATGCATTAGTAGGATGGCACCCGGGCTTTCCTTTCATCCAGCCCACAGAGGAGGGGTTCTTTTCCCTTTCACTGGGATGAGACCAGCTGTTTTCCAGCTGTGACCCGCCAAGCCAAACAGAGTCTTCCAGCCCCCTATAAGCGGCCCACTAGGGGATTTGTTAACTCCTGAGCTGGGGGCGGGGCCGTCTTTAGTCAGTCGGGTCTTGAAAGGCCCAGGCCGACAGTCTAAGGTCACACACCCTACACTGCAACACTAACTCATGCTTTCTGTCTACATCCCTGGTATCTTAGCGTTTTTTTTTAAGTGAAAACTATCGTTGCCAACTTTGACTGTGATTCATAAGCAGTTAGCACAAGTAATCCCCAAGTCCCATCTCTACAGAAGGCAAGAAATGTCAGAACCAGAGAGAAGAGAGGTTGAGGCTTTTATGCGACTCCGTTTCTCCTCCTCAGTCGCATCCCAAATACTGAAAATTGCGATCACTCAAATTGGGCTTAGCCTGCTGGGGGTTTTGTTCCAGGCAGTTTGATTCGTTTGTGGTCTAGTTGACACACACCTCAGGGGTCCAGAACAAACACACAGACATAGAGCACTATCTGTCCTTTTCCGGTCACACTTATGTCTCAAAGTTTGACATAATTGTTGCTCGCACAACTATGATCCCTTTGGGGGGAATCTGTCCCATGGTTTTGCGCGTGCGATACTAAAAGGGTGTGCATTTTGTTCCGGGGGACCGTTTTAAAACTTTCTGTTCTGTAACTCTTCTTTTAAGGGTCTCCTAAACTGTTCTTTCAACTTTTCCCTGATCTTTCAAACCCTCCCTTAGGATTTGTGTGTAATTGTGTCCTGCAGGGGAAGGAAACAGAAGGTCCGGGGATATGGGCACGGAGCCTGTGACTGGTTTCTTGCATCTTAGCCTAGAGAGCTCTCACTGTGAACGATGTTATTGGGGTGGGGGTGGGGATCCGTGAAATCTTCATCAGTGGTAGAACCCTTCAGGATTGCTTGGTGGTTTTGGGTTCTTTTCCCTCTCCCCTTCAGTAGAAGCCAGTAGGGGATGCAGGATCGATATGCAGCTCTTTCTTTCTCCAAGAGCGGACGCTATGAGCCGAAAGGTTTCCTGAGGCTTGGGAAGGCAGGGTCCCAGTCAGCCTGCAGCACTCCAAACGGTGCTAGTCAGCAGCAGCGCCCCCCAGATTGTCCGAGTTCAACCGTGGCCGTCGCAGTTCCTCTCGGCTTTTCTCTGCCTGAAACAAAAAGCAAATGGCTCCAGCCCGGTTCCGCTAGTTCGGCGCATAGGACCAAGTCCCGCAGGGTTGGGGAGGTTTTGCTCCGAAGGGTTCCGCTGGCCATGCTGACTTGCTGTTTTTGGGTTGCCCACGGTCACCGTTGCTGATGGAGAAGCTGCTGTCCTGAAGCCCTCTTTGCTGCACTGCTGGTTCCTCCCCCCCGGCAGTTGAGAGGGGGCAGGAGGTGTGTCTGTGGGAGGGGTGCCCAGCCACCGGAGCATCCTAGCTGCCGCTTCCCCGCTCGAGAACCGCGCGGCGCTCACTGCTGCGACACCGCCGCCGCGTCCGCTCTCCCATAGCTGTTCAGAGTTTCTTTTACATACCTGTAGCTGTCTTTTTTTTTAAAACGAAAGAAAAGAAAAAGAAAAACTTTTGTTTTTAAGTCGGTTTTGTGTCTTGACGTGTCCCTTGCAATATCCCTATCGTTATATATGCTGTGTGCCTTATGAAATGCTGGGATCTGGAAAATCCAACCAACCACCGGACGCATCGTCGTCTCTCCACCTCTGAATGACAACTCAATCTGCCAATCGGAACGGCCCGCTGTGTGCGATTGGTCGGATGGCGTTTCGGGGGGCGGTGTGTGCAGAGAAGCCAACAGAGCAGTAAGCGCAGCAGGAGCGTGGAAGATGACAAGGAAGGTCACCTGGTGTGCAGGATCGGCGATTGGCTCCAAGAGCGATGTACAGCCACCTTTCGTAAAACTTTACCTCTCTCTACTTTCTATCCCCCCCATGTTAGACCAGATCGCTCTCAGTGTTTACGGGAGGGGTCTCTAGCGTTGTTGTTGTTGTTTTTTTTGCTTTTATCATTTATAAAAATGGACTGACCAGTAAAAAAAAAAATTGCCTGAAGCAGGAAGTAGCCACTTGTGTGTTTAAAAAACAAAAAGAATATAGCATTTGAGAGAGCCTGTTTTTCTCGAACTTGTATTATGCTGTGAAATTTCAGGACCCGCGCTCCCTCCGCGTCCCCAGAGCTCACATGGGTTTCTGTTTTTTCTCCTAGATGAAATTGTCGGGAGCCTGGGCGAGGGGACGTTTGGGAAAGTCGTGGAGTGCGTGGACCACGCCAGGTAGGTCCTCCACCGTCTCCCTTCCCCCCCCCCCTCTTGAGCTGCAGTGAAACTAGGAACACAAGGCCTCTGGTGACCTGACATTAGACTGAAAGAGGACTTGCAGTCCTGAAGACATGTTTGAGTGGCTTAGTCCAAAAAGCAGTTCCCGGCCTTTTCAGTAAGGTGACCCACAAGTCCAAATTTACTTGGCATAGTGACCCATCCAGGGCATCCTAGGCAAACAATAACCTTGACACCCCTCTAGCTCAGCATTCCATTTCCCACAGTGGCTAACTAGATGTTTTTGAAGAAACCAGCAAACATTGCACAAAGGGCGCAGCTGCCCCCCCACTATGAACCCCAAGCAAGTGGCATTCCGGCGTACACGGCCTTTGCATATGGAGGTGACATTCCAGCCTTTGACCACCTTCTCCTCCTTTACACCCTCCCATCCCTGCTAAGAGTCTAAGAAACTCACTCTAGTAACCATCAAGACACGTCTCACTTGCTCTGACCTGGATAGCCCAGGCAAGCCCGGTCTCGTCAGATCTTGGAAGCTAAGCCGAGCCAATCCTAGCAAATATTTGGGTGGAGACCTCCAAAGAATACCGGGGTTGGGAGGCAGAGGCAGGCTAGCCCATAGGGGTGTGCATTTGGCTTCCCCAAACCGAAAAAAAATCAAATAAGTCAGTATTTATTCGGTATTCCGAAACCAAATGCAAATTCAGGAAACTTTTCGGCAGAGTTTCCTGAATTATTCGGCTTTTTTGGGTAGCCAAACCTAACAGCTGACAGGCCGGTGGGAGTGAAACTGCCCCCTCTGTATGCTTTCGCCAGCTGGCCCACTGTAGTGAGCTGGCTGGGGAAGCCAAAGGGAGGCATGGAAACATGCCTTCTTCCCTCTCTGAGCCTCTCCGCTGCTGTGGAGAGACTTGGAGGGAAGGGAAAGTCAGCGCAGGCATGTTTAAATGTTTTTCTTTCTCTCCCCAAGTCTGGCTGAGGAAGCTAAGGGCAGCCTGGAAACGTGCCTGGGCTCCCTGCCTTCCCTTCTCCAGTTACCCCTGGGCAGCTGGAGAAGAGGAGCCTTTCCTTGGTCAGTTTCACTCCCATGGCTTGTCTGCTGTTAGGTTTAAATGGCTTAAACCTAGCAACTGACTGGCAGGGAGTGAAATTGACTAGGAAAGCTGCAGGGGCTTCCAGAGGGAAAGAAGGCATTTTAACATGCCTCCCTTCCATCCCCTTGGGTATATCAGATCCGAATATATTCGGCAACACCGAATATTTCCCCAGTCCTGATACTTCACCAGTATCGGACTGGGGAAATTCGGCTTTTACCGATATTTTTCGGGTCTGATGGACCCGAAGCTGAAAAATAACGACTTTTTTTTTTGCACACCCCAGCTATCAAGCCACTTCTCTGAACATCCTCAACGCCCCAGAGGTCATCATGACTTACGGGTACAGTACAAGCACATACACGCACAGACACACACAATGCAAAAAGACACGTTTCACTTGATTAACATGTATACGCAGTGACATTAATGTATGACGGGGAAGGTACCATTTCTGGGATCACGTCTTGCTTTCCAGGGATACAAAAGAGAACAGTGGAAAGGAACGGGGCAGCCATGGGGGAGGGGGGCTGGCCCATGACCCATTTTCATAGACTTCTCGACCTACTTTTGGGTTCCAGCCCACAAGTTGGGAAACACTGGCCTAAATGGCGTTGACCTCTTCTCACTTGTGGGAGGAAGGAAGCAGTCTGACAGCGCAGGTGGTTCTTCCCATCAGGTCGGGAGACTGGTGCTACCCTATCTGGAGCTTCCTGTCTCCCCCAGTGAGCAGCATCTTCCTTCTCCTGTTCCTTTCTGCCTAGGAAAGGGAACGCCGTTTGCTTAGAGAAATTCTCTTAATCCCTCTCTACCCAATTTCTCCCCGAAACCCAACAATCCTTTCTTCTCCTCTTAGGAATTTGGAGTCGGTCTCTAATCTGTTCCATTTCGATCAGGGAGAAATACCAAGAGAAGGAGGGGGAGGAAGGGAGGCTCTGCAGAATTTCACTCTGTAGGTGCTCAGAGGCAAGGCCTATCTCTTTCCTACCCTCCTGCTAGAGCACCGCTCTGCGGTGTGTAACATAAAAACTGAAAGTGACAGAACAGTTTGTTAATTTCTCTTTTTAGAAAAGAAGAGAAGTCATTCTTTTAAAAAGAGGAAGAAAAGAATTAGAGGAATCAATGACTAAAAGTTTTTAAGTATTAATCTAGGCATCGATCTCCTTGGAGATCACATTTAGGGGCCAGAAAGGAAGTCCTTGCTTCAGGATTTGTCTCACCGAGAGCATGAGGGGGCTTGAACTTGTGGCTGTGTCCCCCCCCCCAAAAAAAAACCCCCAAAAGATGGTTGCCACTGATTTTGTTTGTGTCTCTCTACTCCTCCTTTCTCCTCCCACCCACACCCCCTTCTGCAGAGGCAAGTCTCTGGTAGCTTTGAAAATCATCCGAAACGTGGGCAAGTATCGTGAGGCAGCTAGGCTAGAAATCAATGTCCTAAAGAAAATTAAGGAGAAAGAGAAGGAGAACAAGCAGTAAGTCTCACCACTGGAATAGACTTTCACATTGGCTGTTTTTTGGGGCGGGAACGGGCGGGGGGGGGGTATCCGGCATGTTCGCCGCCGCCAAGGAGTCTCCCAGGGTCCATCCTTGCATCTTTTCCTCCAGTCAAACATACTGAAAACCAGAAGCTGTTGAGGAAGCGCGATTGCCAGAGGCAGTCGGGAACTGGAACGTTGTGGTGTAGCGTTCCGTGTATCCCCGTCGCTGTTGGAAGTGCCAGGGGCACTCACAGGCTTGCGTCTAGGTAGGACTTGGAGGCCTGTCCTGTTGTTCCATCACAAGAAGGGTCGGACCAGAACCAGCAGGTTGAAATCAAAAGAGTTTTCAGCTAAGCATTAAGAAGAACTTCCTGACCGTGAGGGAGCAGGCTTCCTCGGGAGGTGGTGGGCTCTCCTCCTTTGGAGGTTTCCAAACAGAGGCTTGGATGGTCATCTGGCAGCAACACCGATTCTGTGAACTTAGGCGGATCACGAGGAGGGAGGGCAGCGAGGGTCGCCTCAGTGCTTAGTTCTCGTGGCCCTTTCTTACACCCCCCAAGGAAATGCCGATCACCACTTTGGGGTCAGGAAGCAATTTTCTCCAGGCCAGTTTGGCCAGGAATTCTGGAGGGTTTTTTGTTTTTTGTTGGTTTTTTTTAAATCTTTTTGGCCATCCGCTGGGCATGGAGCAGGGGTCACTGGGTGCGTGGAGGTGGGGGAGGCATTTGTGAATTCCCTGCACTGTGCAGGGGGTTGGACTAGATGACCCTGGAGGTCCCTTCTGGCTCTATGATTCTAAGAAGACCCTCCAAGCCCTTGGTTTCTCCAAGGGAGTTCTGTACAATTCAATAAGGCTTAATTTCCCTGCACTCCAGTCCAAATGCCTGCAAATACTGCCACTTTAGGAGTATTCTCCTGTTGTTCTGTGGGGTGGGTGGGTGCTCTCAATGGCTTCTGTGCGTGGTTGTAATTCGGGATGAGACCCGGTTGGTCCTCTGAGGCTTCCTTACTCCGGCTGTCGGGCCAGTGCTTTGAAGCAGTCCTCTCATCAGCTCTCCCGTTTTCTTGTCCTCCTCGGGTCCAGCCTGTGCGTCCTGATGTCGGACTGGTTTAACTTCCACGGCCACATGTGCATCGCGTTTGAGCTCTTGGGCAAGAACACGTTTGAGTTCCTGAAGGAGAACAACTTCCAGCCCTACCCTCTCCTGCAGATCCGACACATGGCCTACCAGCTCTGCCACGCCCTGAAGTGTGAGTGTCCTGTGCTTTCTGTTTTAAAAAGCTTGGCTCTCTTCCTAGCCCAGGAGTCCCCAACACGGTGCCCGTGGGCTGTTACCTAGTAGTGCTTCTGATTGGCCATCAAAACCCAATCGGACACGCGGGTTGAAATAACGTTTCGGTGGCAGCTACCACCGTATTGTTTGTTTTGTTACCTTTCAGCACTCTTTCCAAAACTAGAAGAGGAGCAATAATGGCTTCTCTACTTCTTCTTGAGAACTCCAGACAAAGATGGGAAGAGGAGCCATAAAATGCAAAAACACCTTGACACTTTGCTTCCAATGAAACTCCTAGATCAGGGATGGTTTTCCCGGGCTTGTAGTTCTAAACTGACATTGGCTACATAAAACACATGTGATTTCCTGTGACAACACAAACAAACATTTAACCCCAGATACACTGAAGTGTTTTCAGCTTGTAATACCCAACACAGTCCCCGGCTTCCAGCTGGTAGAAGATCATAAGAGCCTCAGGAGAGCCCTGCTGGGTC